GAGAAGGCCAGTTATGGACTGTGGTCCTGATGCGTTTTGGGCGGCAGGCTGCAGGCGGGAGCCTTAGTGGGCGGAGAGGTGGAGCCTGGACCGGGGAGCAGAGCGGAGGAAAGGGGGTCCGCCAGCTGCAGCCTCTGCTCCTCTCCCCTGGCTGTGACCCCTCCTCCTGGCCGCTGTCCTGCAGGGGACTCTCCGTGGGGCCTTCACCCTCACTGTCGCAGTTGCCCCTGGGGCACAAAGGGCGTTGGGCCAGGACACCAGTGGGGGCTTGGCCCTGGCTGTCAGAGGCGGAGGCTGTTGGGGGGGCGGGTGCCAGCTGGGGGGCGGTGAGTCCCCCCTTATTGCTGGTGTTCGGGAAGACCTGGGGCTTCTATTTTTGTTTGCTTTCCAAATTTGTGAGCATGCATTGGTTCATCCTGTCTGTTGATTCTGTTCAGTTTTCTCGCTATGTATCTATCACCTGCAGATACGCATAGCTACGCTTTCTGTTATATGTCATTGCTTTGACTAAAACTGCTGAACTCACGTGGACTAATCGTGGTGATAATGGGAGTGGTCAGCCCTGAATTTAACAGGGGTTTTCAACATCATATTTGAGGGAGTTGAATAACTGAAAAACAATATTTATCATTAAAAGGGAATTTTCTTTTATTCCTAGGTAAATTAAAAAAAAAATCTTCCTTTTCTCTCATCTTGACATGCTGATTTTTTTACCAAGTAATTTTTGTGCATCTATTGAAAATGTCACAATAATGCTCTTGGGAACTTCTGCCTGTTCTGCCTCCCTCCCCGCTCCTGGGTTTTGCAAGCGGGAAGGTCAATTCCACCACTGAGTGGGCAGGCGGCTTCAATCCAGGCAGGCCCCCTCCCCTCACATTTTCCTAGCTCCCTGTTCCCCCATAGAGGGCTGGGAGTAGGGGTGTCTGGGTTTGTGCTCTGGCTGGGAGGCCATTGCCCCCATCAGGGCTTTCCCAGGGGAGTCCCTGCGAGAGCAGAGATGCCAGCAGCCGCTCTCCAGAGCAGGCCTTTGTCCCTTCATCGTTCTGTTTTTCTCAAGAGCCTGGTCTTCCTTGGTGTCCAGCCGCATTTGGGTGGAGGAAGGAAACGTGGCTGGTGTTACCAGAAGGCTCCGGGGCCCCGGGGGCCCACAGGACAGGTGGCCGGGTTGGTTCTCTGGTGCTGCTGCCTGTGGGTGCCGGGCTGGGGCCTCCCTCTGTCCCCACCAATAAACAACCGGCTCCCGGAGAGCAACGTGTTTGGTTTCTGATTTGCATCACTCTCAAGGCTGGAAACTTAAATTTGCACATGAAAGAACTACGTTTAATAATGAAAAAGGGTGTGAGCATAGGGGTGTCATGTTTCTGCATCCGTAGCCCATATGCCCGTGTCTGGAATGTGAAGATGTGTTTATGAGGAAACGTGTTCTTATAAATCACTTGTAAGTAATTTGAGGTGAAAACGCGGGTTTAGATGTCCCTTCAGTGCCAAGGCTTCCGAGTGGTCAGAAACCACGAGCGTCGGGAACACGGGGCTGGTCATGTGCGCGCACGGGCCACGTGCGGCCTCGTCAGGCATTGGGTGTGTCTGGTGTGTTTGGGGAGGTGCTGGCATGGCGTGCGGACCTCTCTCTCTTTGATGGTGAGCTGGGGAGGCAGCAGTTACAAGGCAGAGGACAGCTGGTTTCCCAAGGGGAACCCAGAAGCTTAGTGACAGTGAGGAGCTGCCCAAGGGGCTGAAGGTAACGGGGCGGGTCCTGAAAGGTGGGAGCCGGATCTCAGAGTTTGGGGACCACAGTGATGCGGTCAATGCTGCCCGCTCCTCTGCTCTCCGTCCTCACCTGAGCGGGGGGGCCTCTGGTAGTGGGACCCCCCCTGCCCAGGCTGGGGTTGCTGGAGAATTGGCTCCACCGCCCAGACCCCGGGCAGTCCTCAGCCCTTGGACCACCTTGGGTGTGGGGGGCTGCACTGCCTCACACCTCAGGGCGGGGCGGGGACTCTGAGTCCTGCGTGTACTCCTCGGCTGTGTGTGTCCCCAGCTGCTCAGGCTGCAGAGGCCACCATGCTGACTCGCTTTCCCTCCCCCCACACCCCCCTGAACCCCTCTGGGGCTTCCAGGGCCCCTCCCAAGGCAGCTCCTTGCACTGGGGTCCTTGTCAGGGTTGCTCCTGGGGGAACCAGCACAAAGCAGAGGAGGCTAGTGGTCCTAGCCTTCACTGAGGAGTGTGGATACTGTCCTCTAGGGCAGTGGTCCCCAAGTTTGTCACAGGGGCACATTCTTGGGCACCACGCAGACCTGTTGAGTCAGAAGCTCATGGATTGGGCCCAGCCAGCCCTCCAGGTGATTCGATTCTTTGGGGGGACAGATGTGGAGATCAGAAGTGCTGTCGACAGGATGGGAGATGGCCACGCTGGCCTCCTGGATGAGGAGGTTCTGAGCAGGAAGAACCGGAGACCAGCCAGGAGGCCAGCGTGAGGTCCAGGCAGAGAGGGGGCCTGGGGATGAGCTGGGCGACTGTCCAGGAGGCCAAGGTGGGCAGTGCTGGCGAGCTGACAGGACGGGTGTGGCGAGGGAGGGGCCAGGACGGTTCTTGGCTCAACTTTCTGGGCTTATCGGTGGGAAGGGGCCATTCTACTGTGGACATGCTGCGTTTGAGCACCGTGGACAGTGTGGTTGGAGATGCCTAGAGGCTGTCATGGAACTCAGAGCTCCAGTCCAAGGTGGAGACCTGGGTGTCAGCAGATGGACGGTGGGTGGACACCCCGGTGAGTGGATCATTTCACGGAGTCAAATTTATGGGCAAAATAGTGTGGAATTAGAAAACCCTGTTATCTAAATGCTTTCTAAGGGGCTTCTCCCAGTTGGCACCCCTGGGCCTGTCTCGACCCGTCTGGCCCCAGTGGACCTGTCGCCTTTGTTCTTTGTGCCGTCAGGCGGGCGAAAGCCCAGCTCACACAGCCGTCGGGCACTTGGGTCCTGCTGGGGACGGACGTTTCCTGTGTTCTGACCGCTGTCCTTCTTTGCTGACCCATCCCCTGTGCCTCTGACAGATCGGACCCTCGGGGTCCTCACATTTTTTTTTAATTTTTTTTTATTGGGGAATTGGGGAATGGGAACAGTGCTGGGGAATTGGGGGAAGGGGAACAGACAAGTTGCTGTCGCCTTGTTCCTCAATCCAGCTGCGGAGGACGTTGCCCCACTGGCCCAAGTTGGCACCACCATTGCGCTCTTCTCTGGCGAGGCAGATCAGTCGCCGGCCTCTGGACGGCCGCTCACCGCGGCTGCCGGCCGCTCACGCTTAGCTGTAGAGGGCAGTGTCACTGGCCCTCACATGTGGGATCCGAACCGGGGCCCTCTGGCATCCCAAGCGAGTTCTTAACCATCGCGCCAGTCGGCCGGCCCTCGGGGTCCTCACATTTGTCATGAGAGGTGCAGGATGCTTTCTAGGGGCGACACACTGGCTGTGTGGAGGGGAGTGTGCTCCACCCCGCCCTGTGTTTGCCTCCTATCCTGTCACCCCCTTTCTGACAGGCAGACATTGTAGAATTCTGCAGGGCCAGCACCGTCCATCTTCTATGGCAGCGGTTCTCAACCTGTGGGTCGTGACCCCTGTGGGGGTCGAACGACCCTTTCACAGGGGTTGCCTAAGACCATTGGAAAACAAAAAGATATTTACATTACGATTCATAACAGTAGCAAAATTACATTATAGAGTAGCAATGAAAATAATTTTATGGTTGGGGGTCACCACAACATGAGGAACTGTATTGAGGGGTCGCGGCATTAGGAAGGTTGAGAACCGCTGTTCTGTGGGTTTTTCTGACTGTGCCTGAGCCTCGGGCGCCGCTCGCAGAGCTGTGGTCCCCCGGAAGCTCACCCTCCGCGTGGCTCCCCTGGACTCTGTTTTGCAGCCCAGGTGACACGAGGCCCCACTGCCTGCGGACAGATGACCAGAGGCGGAGGCCCGCTAACTCCTTCCCGGACCCTCCCCACACCCCTGCGTCTGCCTCTCCCTCTCCTGAAGCCGCCAGCGCGAGGAACAAGAGGGAGAGTGGAGGGGCGGCCGGCTGCCTGCCTCTCTGCTTTCACAGCAGCTGGCCGCTGTCTGCCTGGTCCCCTGCCACCTCCTTCCCGCTTCCACTGTTCGGCTTTTTCTCTGGGGCCCAGGCTGGCAGAGTTTGGGGGCACTTTAGCCTCAGTTATCAGTTATGTTTGCATTGACCCTTATGCTGCGGGAGGCATCGTCTGAGGCTCTGGACGCGGGGTCCCCATCTGCTGATGGTTGGGATCCAGTGGGCTCTAGTCTGGCCCCAGCGGCGGTGCGCTGCAGGCCTCACGCCCACTTATCCTGGGCTGGCCTGGCTGTGGTCCT